AGGAGTCATTTGAATAGTAAATTAACAAACGTCATTATACCAAATATCCTTATGCCAAACGTCCTTATGTCAATTGTAGCAGACCCGTGCTCAACAGATCACGGTAGTGTTCCAATGTCAAACTACATAGGAGATGGCTATCAGCACCGTCAGTGGCGACAATACCATTTAATACAAAATTAAGCCAACCGTTAAATGAATGAACGATGATCAGTTTGTGAAGTGATCTGCCTGTTCATATGTGATAATGGACTTTGAATCACGACGATGCAATCAAATAAAAAGTAGAACTACATTCACTTTGTAAAAAATCTCGAATATAGTTTTTTAAACGCGAAACAAATGTTTGGCAACTCTGCACCAACAAATTCTTGACGAATCCAAGCAAAGCTTAATTTGGTTATGCTACCAGTGCTGATAAAAATCATTTCTTCTACACTCAACTTAGATGAAAACGAAAACAACCTTAACAGAAAGACCAACTACTTGCATAAAATTGAATTTTGACATAACAACATTATTTTGATCATCGTATTGAGTATCGAAGTCAATATTTATGTTTGTCCATTTGGGGCTGGATCTTCATTATCATTATCATTATGTTTTCAATATTAATATTCGTCTACATCTTGGTGGAGACGATTTTTAGGATCAATTGCAAAATTATTATTTTCATTTTACACAAATATAGCGCTGTAGAACGTGTTGTGTTTGTTTTTTTTACACACAAATCGATGGAAAGTTATTGCCTCATGCGTAATTGATAATAATATCGAGGTTCTAGGCTCTGGGGTCCACAATATAAAAAAAATAATTATTTTGCCCAATATTAAATTGATTATTTTGCTTTTGAGGATCGCTTCTGATTTTTACAATTTTGGGCCCCGGCGAAGATCAACAAACGCGTGTTGATTGATGTATAATGACCACTTTTGCTTATAGGTGACACCAAAGATTTCCAGAACAAGCGCAATTCATCTACACTGGGTTAAAGCGCTACTTCTTGCATGTGATTTTTTTTTTCCTTTGGTTTGTTTTTTCCGTTGATCTTGTTTTCCGTGCTGAGCACCAATGCTACCGACGTGCCAGGAAGGCAGCTCCCACACCTACCTATCGACCCATCAACTCATGAACCGGGGACCAACGGCTTTACTTCCCATCCGAAGGAAGGCGTGATCAGAGATGTTATGCCTCAGAACATCCCGGCGGCGCCGACTGGGATTGAACTCAGGCCTGCTGGGGTGAGAGGTTATCACGCTTACCACTACACCACCGGCGCCGTTTTCTTGCATGTGATGATAAATGATAAAAACAGACACTGCATGCGACACCAAGTTTTCAGATCCGGAAATACAAAAATGATAATATACTTAAAAACTTACCTTTACATTTTCATCCTATCACCGTCCATGATTCGATCATCAATTTGTTTCTTCAATTCTTTGTTCAGCTGTTTTCTGCAAACATTGAAAATAATAGGTCTAAAATGTACTTCCATTTCTTTGTAAAATGAGGCAAAAAATTCTATAGTGTTACAGGAACTATGCTTCGAACTTGTTGTTGATCTTATGTAAAAAAAAGACTGAAGAACACGATCGTGCTATCAAATCAAATATTTAGTTGCATTTACTAAAAAATATGCGCCTAAAGTTTTCAGTCACAATATTATGTTTAACGTTGGCAACACTTAACAAACAACTTATCTTGGAAAAAAATAAAGTAAAAATAAAGTAAAAATTAAATGTTTTCTAATAACTTTTGGCTTTCGTTGATTCAAAATCTCTGGGACTACGCAATTTTTTTTTTTTCGATAAGTTTTTATTATGTAAACAAGAATGGGGAGCAAGAAAGAGCCATTATTAAAAAAAAGCATGAAATGTTGTTTGTGAAGTGTTTGCATAAAAATTACGATACATAGAGTAGGGAACTGGACCAAGGGCACAAATATTTTGATTTTTTAAAGTTGATCTGAAATAAGTGTCTTCTCCAAATTTGGTCCAAATCGGAAGAGTTCAATTTCACTTTTGTAGTTTTTCTCGGTCACTTGGCGAATAACCCATATTCATTCTAGAAAAACTTGTTTGTACAATACACTCCATTGTTGGAACTGACATTAGAAGAAAACATGCAGAGGATACAAGAAATCCACCCTTAAATTTGATGTTCATGCCATTTGTTTTACGTGTATGAAAAAGTACCACTATTTTCTTAAATTTAGTTGTACAAACTTGGTCTCGCTTTGTCTCGTGGAAATTTATATACGATCAAGGGCTGCACTTTGATCGATGACGAAACATACGTCAAACTCGGTTTTATGCAGCTTCCCGGTCAAAAGTTTTACATCGCGACTGGACGTGGGGATGTACCGGAAAGATTCAAGTTCGTGTTTGCCGACAAGTTCGCGAAGAAGGCCATGATTTGGCAAGCGATTTGCAGTTGTCACCTGAAAACGGAACCATTTGTCTTTTTTTCTTTCTTTTTTTCCTTTGGTTTGTTTTCCGTCGATCTTGTTTTCCGTGCTGAGCACCAATGCTGCCGACGCTAGAAAGGCAGCTCTCACACCTAGACTCTACCTATCGACTCATCAACTCATGAACCGGGGACCAACGGCTTTACTTCCCTTCCGAAGGAAGGCGTGATCAGAGATGTGATGCCTCAGAACATCCCGGCGGTGCCGACTGGGATTGAACCCAGGCCTGCTGGGGTGAGAGGTAATCACGCTTACCACTACACCACCGGCGCCGCTAAAACCATTTGTCACTTCCTCGAAAATGACATCCCAAGTTTATATCGAAGAATGCCTGAAAAAGCGTGTATTGCCATTCATTCGAAAGCATAGGGGCAAAGTCATCTTTTGAAAAGAAAGGATAGAAGAAATGGACTGATGCAGTGACCGTTTCCACTGTGCGGACGCTGATGGACTCCATCAAGAGGAATATTTCGTTCGAACTGGAGAAATGTAACCATCTAATGCTGTTACTTAGAAGTTTTAATAAAAGTACTGTAAAGCATTATTGGACTTTTTAAACTTATTGAATCACAAATTACAGGTCTTTTGTGCGTACCAATTTACTTTTAGTGAGCCTTTAGTACACCATCACACAACAAAGTATTCTTTTAAGTAGCGTATTAACGAATTCAATTTGTGGACTAGACCTTCACCAGATGCATCTTTATATAACTTCACTGTTAGAAAAATTGATGTAAATTTAGGTGCTCTGAGACTGACATATACGAGCGTCAATTTTGGTATAAAATTGAGTCATAATAGACGCGAAATTCAGCTCAATCAAACGTACTTTCGAACTTGTCAGTCTCGGAGCACTTAATTCTACATGGCATGTTTGTTTACGTTTCATCCTTTATGTCAAAGATGAATTCCGTCACGTGTAAGATTAGGTATTTCTAAGTGAGTTGTCTAACGATACTGACTTAATTAAACACCATTTTAGAGCATTTTTTTGCTGGAAACTTGCTCTTTTGAACCACAGCATATTAAAAAAAACTTCTGTTTTTTTGGTGCAAAGTTCTTCGAAGTTGCGCTTGATCTCTAAAATAATGAACATCAGTATAGGGTAATGGATCATCGATTTCAACGACACACAGTATTAGAATGAAAGAAACGACAAATTCACATTGCAAGACCTCCTCTTATTGACATAGTAATACTATAGCTTTAGCCTAAACGGGTCATGGCTTGCTCTTTCAAAAAATAACCTATAGCTAATAAACCACTTCTGAGGCATAACATCTCTGACCACGCCGTCCTTCGGGAAGTAAAGCCGTTCCCGGTTCATGAGTTGATGCGTCGATAGATAGGGTCTAGGTGGGGGAGCTGCCGCACTGACGTCGGTAGCATTGGTGCTCAGCACGGAAAACAAGATCGACGGAAAACAAATCAAGGGAAAAAAGCTTCCACGGGATTTCTATCAGTAATACTGTGATGGTAAAACATTATCGTAAAGATGAATTATGTGCCAGCGGATAAAAACAAATGTCTAACGATGTTGTAGACATATATTCGTAAGGATGACTTAAGAAATAGCGCAACTTATCAGGTGCAGGAAATTATCACATGTACTCCTATGTGTAGTGAAAGTCAGTTCCATACCAATCACCAGTCTAGATCAATGCTAAGCTAAGCTGGCAAAGTACTATGCGTCTACTTCGTGTCTACTACTATTTTCTGCTGTCCCCTGTCGTATCAACTACAGCAAAATAAAGCGTATCACAGTTGTTAGCATGCATAAGCATAAGCTCGCTTTCATAACGTTTACTGACAGTGGGGGTTATTAGCAACAGACCAGACAACGAAGACGGCCTGCGTCGCGAGTGCTTTGGTATCAGGTGCAATTGGGGTGTAACTCTACCCTTCAACAAAACCACGTTAAAATACCGCACATTGCGTGTTTTACGTAAATTCTTTCAAGGCTCAAACATGCAGAATCCAGCTGGCAAAGTGTGGTTGAACATATTGGGTTAGAAGTTCATTCCATGATTTACTAGCTTCAGTATCAGATTTCCTGCTCTACTTTGAACTAGATGCGTATGATTCACAGTCACATTCGACTGTATAAGGTAATTGGTTGTTGGGTGCTGCGGTAGATTCAAAATATGTACATCCACTGACTACCTTTGAATTGCAGAGGGGGGATTTCATACAAGCGATTTATTTGCTCCCCCCGCGACGAACGAATATGAGCAAGTTGGTTTGATTAAATTTATTAAAGGTTGTTTAATATTTCCACGGAAGAATGTACCATCATCGTTTGAAGAGATTGCATATTGTGGTTTCTGGTTTTCTGAAAATCCAACTGAGACTCTACAGTAACTCCTTCTCCTGTTCTCGGGCAATGTTGAAACATGTTGCGAAGAGAGCATACATGCATTCCTGGTACGTGCGAATAAACCACATGGCGACCGACGACGATGGCTGCTGTTAAAACAAAGTTTTCAGTTGTTCATGTTAAATTAACCACTTCTCTTTTATTTATTTACAGGTTACCACAGCTTACCGTCTATGCCAAGATTTTGTGCCTCCTGATGGTGAGTTATATTCGAGTTTTTTTTTTGCTTCCATCGTGCATTCTCTGTAAATGTATTACTAAGCCTTGGCGTACGATCGTTCAAACACAAACTGGATTTTTCAACAACTAAGTGTTTCCCTTCGTTTATGGCTTCATCCCTGGAGTTTGCTAGCTACTCTAACGCCTGTCGTTGCATTATTGGTCAGGCGCGAGTTACCTCTTAGATGGCAACTACAGCTTCAGTGATGGCGTGTCGCTCCAATCACGCAGCTGGACGAGGTCGAGTCTTTTACGATAGATATGAAATGAATATATGTGGTTTTCTTAATTTAATTTTAATTAAATTGTGGTGATTCTATCAGCATCATACTTCAGAATTTGCGGCACTGGAACAGCACTTGCTCCACTCTAGACAGCCACCACATGCCGGTGAAAGAATTAAAGTGATTCACTGCAAATGAATCTTACACTTATTGATGAGCTAGCTTTTATATTTCTACACTCCATTATTTCAACCCCTTTATTGAAAGGATCAACTAACGGTTAATTTTATAAGATTGTGTGATAGTAAAGGCTGGAAATGACGAATTCCCGACTGGCAAGACATTTTTCGAATTGGAAAATATCTCAACTTCCCTGTTCTTTTGTTAATAATTTTCACTCAGTTGTTGAAATTTGTTTTTCTTCGAAGTAATTGTAGATTAGGATCATAGTTTACTATAAATATGCAAATAGTAGGCAAATTTTAACATGAATGCGGTTTAAACTTTAAGTTCAAGATGAGCAGCGAGCATTTTTCACTTCATTTTTACAACGCAAATACAAATACATACAGTTTATTATTGGAATTAAAATCTACTTTTTTTGCGTATCTATAACAAGCTTAAACTCTATTCTATCTGTTGCTTAACAAAGAACTATGTTTCGTCAACTTGAGTAAAATTATTAGCAAATGAGCAGTTCGTGACCAAAACTGTGTATGCCAAGCATGTTTCCCTGGCATACTTACAAAAATGAGGTGTGCTTAGAAAGCTTCCAATTAGCAACTGTGAAATTTCTCCCGAACATGAAATATATGACTGGCGTAAAAATTCAGTTGGAACTTAATGTCAATGAATATAAGGAATGGATAGATGTTTTTTTTTCAAGTTTGGGGTCATCCACAAATTAAGTAAGATTTGTTTCTTCCTTGACTGTAAGTTGGTAAAAGTCCCAGACCTCTGTCACCGATACCAGTCAATCAATCAAGAACTGTCTTGGCAACGCCCTTACAATTGCTGGTGATGGGAAGGATTGTTAATTGACACTGCTCTGCCCACTGTAGCTAGGGTTACAATTGGTCGTGATTTAGCAAGATATTTTCTGGTTTGTCTTGATATTGTTGCTCACCCGAACTAGTTAAGGAAAAAAACATCTAGATAATTTGACCTTTTACACTACTTGAACCACTTGAACATTTTTTTATAGTCGCTTTGACACTCTTGGGTCATTCGTGACTTGTCCGGTGATGATAGAACTTGTGACTTTGGCGAGAGAGGTATGGATGTTAACGACTACGGCAGGGCCGTCCCTCACTACTTGAACAACAATATAATAAATGGAACGGAAACAAATTGTTTGAGTCTCAGTTTGAGTAGTTTCATTTCTTATCATTAGAATATTGTTAGTGAGGATTTTGAATCACCAGGAAGTGACAAATGCAAAGGTTTGTACAATTGCTGCCATAATTGAAAATATGCACAAAATGCGCAATTTACAGGACAAATAAGTAGTTTTCAGCGGAGACAACACGAATATGAACTTGTTGAAACAAACTTTCAATTCCTACCTTGTATGTTTTGGATGCCCTGCTCACGTTTTAAACAACGAGCTGAATCACGGCCTCGATTAGTTGGGAGTTGGTAGCATTTTATATGCTCTCACATGTGTGTGTGTGTCATCCATACCATTGGACAAGTAAAACTGCGCATAATAAGATCAAATCGCATGCTCCGTAATGGTGCCCTTTATGTTGTGAATACTAGTGCTTCAAAAGAGTAACTTTTGAGGCAAGATAGGGTGTCAAGTTAAGTAGATATCCACAACAGGTACAGCAAAACATCGCATAGACGCCCTTATTCACACTTACTACTCAGGGGGTAGAAGGTCCAAAAGAGCCACCGCCGCCAACTAAAGCTTGAACCGGGTACCTGGGACTCCCACGATATACCCGCGGTAATGCTCAGCAGACGATGTCCTGTGCATATTTAGTATGTAATATGTTGTATTTGGATATCCAACATGTTTGAAGTCATGCGTCATCAAAACCATAATTTGCATCACCACCAATGCACTTTTCAACAATCTTCAACTGGAACGTACTCACCAAATCATTACACCCGGGAACGCATTCCCGATGCTTCCACGCATATTTTTATCTAGTCATTTTTAAACGATTCCTCCTCCAGCGATTCCAACTACACAATAACTAAATATCACTTTTCTTTTTCTTTTTCCGCATTTTATATGCTCTCACATGTAATGAAAATATTCAACTACTTTTCGATCTACATACATTGTGACGACCGCAAAGTTGAAGCAGTTCTGCGATGATGTAGACATCGATAATCGTAACCTGCTGTATCACAGTAAAACACGATGCACCGTGGGGATTTTGCTAACAAAAAGGATTACAATTAGCTTCCGTTGAAATCGCACATATTTATGTTATATATGAAATGTATGTCTTCTTAATGGAGAAAGTTCATGAAATCGGTTTCACTTACGCATGCTGCGGCAAGTATGGATTTGGCGTTTATTTTACCCGAAACCTCCTAATGATTTTTATTTGAACGCGTTTAATAATCTTTTTAGTAAGTAAATCTTAGTAAAAGTTTCAAATATTGTATTAATAATCAAAAAGTGACCGTTGAAATTATATTCTGTGGAAAAATACAGAAAAACTGTTAAAAATCATTGAACTGTTTACCGAAAATTCAGCTGATGAAATTTCAGTAAAATTTCATCGAAATCTGTGAAATATTATTAATGTGTGGGGTCAAAATGAGCCCGATCTGTCCAATATGTGTAAATGTAGTTTTTTTGCTCATTTACTAATGGTATCCGATGCCCTAAAAAATCGCTTGATTAGAGAATTTTCAGATCTCAAATTAATTTTGGGGGTAAATTGACACAAAACAAGTGCTAACATAGCATGTGCCAAATGAAGTTATGCAAAAATTAAATCTGCGAAAAAGATCTTTTACGATATTGAAAAAAAATATATTTTGTATTGGGATTAAAACGGGAGCTAATTATAATCCTTTTTGCTTCCAAAATTTCTACTGTGTGATGGGCTAGTTTGATGCCGTATTTTAAATTGTCATTCACTCCAACTGAAAAAATAAAATTTCTAGAAACGAAGTAAAATACTGCATTAGAATACCTACTACGAACGATTGATGAAGTTCACGATTATCTTGATGAAAGAATCGATGCAAATTTCCTGCTTCCAAGTATTAAACCCATACTACAGGACAACTGAAAAACTGATCTCATGGAATAACCCACATATACTGAATAACACGCAATGTCTAATATTTTATTCCATGCAGGTATTCAAGTGGCTTAATTTTTAAAATACGACAATTACGTATGAAATCGTTGAAAAAACTGTTTCTGTCCTTGAAAGAGAGAAACATTCACGTTGATGAGAATATCTTTTTAGATAAGTTTGTGACGCTTATGATGTTCCTGAGGCCGAAAGAAACTGATTACTACAAAACAGGACTGCAATATGAAGCTGTGTGAATTTTTGACAGTAGCCTGAGAATTGGTGACTTCTCAGATTTTGAAAAAAAAAAAATTGGTGAAAATGGTACAAAATTTTTACTCAAAAGCTAAACACAAAGCCTTTGGCTTCAAAACCGAATTCATTTTTCTATTCCTATTTTATTTTCATTCGTATGACGAAGTTAATCCAACGACATTTCTATATGTTTGTACGAATTTTAAATCCATAGGCCGATTTGGAATCCAAAATCAGTGTTGTATTTTAATCATAATATACACACTTTATGACTCTTTATCAAATCCAACAACTGTAGAACTATTACATTTTGTGTAAAAATCCGTTCGATGAAGAAAAGTAAAGAGCGGGTTGTGCTTAGTTGGAAAAAATTAGGTATGCCGATCTTAACCTAAACCCTATACATAACATTCCAAAATATCACTCTCCGTTCTCCAGATTATTGCCATGAAGCATTTAAAAATTTTAATACCCGAGAATACCAAGAAGCAGTTTAATAAAAATTTGAAATATATAATATGATATAAACTCGCAAATTTCCTTGACACTCTGAGCTGCTGCTCCTAAATCCACCATGTAGGACAAAGTGTCAACATCAGTCGGAGCTCAATCTAAGCGCATCGTTAAACGTTAGTTTAAAATGTATATCCCATGTGCCATTTTAACACGTCACGTTTCCCTCATGAATACTAAACGTTTGACGCCCAGTTCGATTGGACCAAGAAGTGTTAGCCGCATATCAGCTAGCACTAATCAGACAGAAGAATACATACACATGTACAAGGCGACATAATTTCGGCGCAAAATTTGCATTTCTATCGCGTAGCAAGGCGACACGACGCAAAACAAAGAATGAAAACATTCACACGACATCTTCAGAAAATTTACTGCTACCAGTGTTAGTCAGTGGTGGTGTTTATTTCTGATGATTGGAAAATTTGTTTAGTGATTCACGAAAATCCCTTTTGTTGAGCAAAACAGTGAGCCTATTCTTCTCTTTGGACGCAAAAACATGCATTACCGGCCAACACTACATTTTTCGGCTGTGTTGAATACCAATTTCCTCGTACCTATTAAGACAAAACAAGCGTATTCAGTCGGTCCTGAGGGCTAAGAATGAAGTTGACTTTGATGATGTTGTCGAAAAACTCAACGGAGAAGAATGAAGCCACCACACGTGGTACTGTTTAGTTGGTCCTGACGACCAAGTCGGTACATTATTTCAAACACTT